GTCTTCTGGTACGAAGCATTTTCTCGGGAGTTCTTGAAGATTAGATTACACTATTAAGGGGGCACTAGGGTTGCGTAAATTTGTAAATTGGTCCCAAATCTGATGCAGTCTGACTTTTCAGCTACATCATTTCATGGGGGTATTCCCCATGTTTCTCTGGTCAATCAAGCTACATGCATTTAAAATTCTTTTTTATTTATACGTTTTAGTCTCTACCCTCACCTTCTTCAGTACAATTAGGTCCGAAAGGTATAGAATCGTGGAGGATTATCGATGTGTAAACCACAGGTTAAGTTTCAGGTGTTACCATACATATTGCCTATCTCTTTTGACATCTCATAAGACCTAACAAATTTTGTAGTAACTTTTTTAACATGAATCATATAATATTTCGAATAGTGTCATATCTCTTTCACCAAGATCCTCGTCTATTTACCAGCTTGAGGTACATAACTGTTTAGTGTCAATAACCTGTTAATGTATGAAGCAATGGGTAAATCACCAAAGATCGTTCCTTCTGGAATATAACATATTTATTCCAATATTCTATGTTTGGTCGTAAGGGAATAAAAAAATAAAATATCTGACTAATTATATATCTAGTTGGACTTGATGAAAATTAGCAGAGCTACTTATCGATAAATTACTTGTAAAAGTATACTAAGTGACATATAAATCCGAACACCCAGTTTAAATGGTTTTATTTTAATAAAATTTTGTATAAGTACTTAATGAAGCATAACAAGTAAATGATAAAAATTTCAAAATGATTGCACTGCTTTAAAGCCCTTTGACATTTAATAATGTGTGGCTGCACCCTCATGTGCGACGCATTCTCCAACGCGCCTAGGCATGCTTCTGATCAGGTGGTCAAGGTCCTCCTGTGGTATCTCATTCCTCTCGAAGTGCTTCTAGAGTCTGAGGAGGGCGTTGCAAATTGAGCAATCTCCTACCCATCATATCCCACACGTGCTCAATTGGGGATAAGTCGGGAGATCTTGGTGGCCATGGTAACAGTGTGACATCATTATGTTGAAAGAAGTCTATTGTGACTCTTGCAACATGTGGTCGGGCATTATCTTGTTGGAAAGTTGGATCTGCCAGGGTGTCAAGGTAGGGTAAAAGATGGGGTTCTAGAACTTCGTGGATATAACGCTGCGCGTTCATTACCTCTGATGAAGATTAAAGGTGATGAACATGTCTTTCAACAAAAAACTGTGGATTCCTCCTTTCACCACGTCGCCTTCTAACCCTGGCACGACCATCGTGCATGCCTAAACAAAATCGGGACTCGTCACTAGAGACAATATTGTTCCATTCCTGATCCCAGAGTGACCGTTGTCTGCACCACTCAAGGCGATTACGTCGGTGTTCTCGAGTTAAAGGGAGGACCCAGTGTGGCCGGTATGAAAACAAGCCAAAACTTCTCATTCGTCGGTAAACACTTCGCATGCCAATAGGTCTTCTGTGTTCTGCAAACCATTCATTTGCAGTGGACCTGGTAGTGGAGAAACGGTCCCTTAAGGCCATTAATCCTATGCGGCGATCTTCACGGTCTGTTGTTCTACGGCGGCGTCCAGTGCCCCTTGCTCTTTGCGTACGACCTTCTCGAAGCCATGCCTGACAACACCTAACCACAGTGACTACACTTCTTTGCACTCTAACTGCAATTGCCCCAAAAGAAAGTCCAGCTTCACGAAGTCCCACTATACGGCCCCTATCAAACTCACTAAGTTGACAAAATCGTACAGGTCTCCGTACTCTAGGCATCGTAACCGATCGTAAAGGATGTCAAGAACCAAAATCCGCCAACATTGATTCTTTACTGCGGCTGAAATATTCATTTTTAGAGCGTTAGTGAATTAAAAAAAAACAGTATAAAAACCGGAATGTCCAACTGATAAGGCTGAAAATTTTTTCACTTGTTATTTACAGTAAGATAAATACATACACCAACTTTTATTAAAATAAAACCATTTAAACTGGGTGTTCGGATTTATATGTCACTTAGTATATTTTCCAGTGCTAACTCCATCTTTCCTTTCGAATATTAATAATATCGAGTGTGTGAGGTTGATTTACTATTGACATTGAATACCTGCTTCTCATGAACGGTCAAACCAGGTACTAATAGCTAAGAACATAAAAAATGTTCCTACATTACCCTTGCCATCTAGTTCAGCTGAAGTGACAAAAATCCATGAACAAACGTATGACGAATACAGAAAATAAAAGTATAACTCCACTTTTTGATGAAAATGTATCACCATGGATTATTTCGCCACATAACAAGAAGAGAGGGAGAGAAGGCAGGATGACTGCTTTACGGCTGAGATTATTCACACAAGACTGGGCCCTTAGTAAGGCTACAAAAAAAATTATTTTTTGTCAACGAAAACGCCGCATTTCTTTCATGTCATTGATGTTCTTTCTACCAGCAGGGTATCGTAATAAAAATGGATAAAAGCATTGTTGTGACACCATAATAAAAAAACTCACCATGAGAGTTGCTTTAAATGTCAATAATATCTAGAGCGATTTATACCAACTATGTATATTATATGTCCGCTTTTATGAACTTGATGGTATTTTATTAATCGGACTTGTTCCATCTGGCTGGCGCCTCTTTGATTATTTTTAGTATGTTTTGTCTATTATTTTTGTATTTTCATAAATGGCCTAAGGAATACTTATGATACCTTGCGACGTGTTATTGAGCCGTATTCATAAAAGAGAAGCATATCCTCGGAAGCTTAAGGTATAAGCATATCCTTGTTTTCATATTCGTAATGATTACGTTATACTTGCGGGGATACCCTCCAAGAAGAAGTAAAAGGTTCACGGTTGATATACTCATCTCCATGGCGATTTGGTTTCAGGATTCCTATATGTGTACAATCAATTACACCAATTGCAGTCGGAAAATTATACATGTTTTGCCATATCCGCTTGGCTTCCATCAGTTCATGGTCGGTAGTTGGAAACTTGATCCATTCGTTCCACTGTGCAACTATGCTGTTCACAACTCTATCTACAGTCCGAGATACCGTTGCTTGACTAACTCCGTTCCTGACCAATACCTCATTGATATCCAGGGTCACCGGGATAGCATGGACATATCTTCATTTTATGTATACATGAAAGTGCTCCTCCTCGAGTTTCCTCAGTCTCAACTAAAAATCTGCCCACAAGCTATTGTACATTTTCTTCGTCGAACCGATATAATTTTTTGAAGTCACGACCAAGTGAAGGTAAATGAGGTTTGTATGCTTTAACATCCCTAACATCCACAATTTCCGCCATCATCGTTTGACCACCTTCGTTACGAAGTTGAGTCTGCTGCTGACCACACTCAGAATTTTTTAAGGATATGCTTCCTATGCCAAGTATAAGGTGAAGATTATGAATATATTTTTACTTATGCCACTGCTTTGAAGGATATGCTTATACTTAAAAAGCAAAAGCATTTACTTCAAATTATTATAAATACCATCTGGAATATTTCCTTCAAAATTTTCAAGTACAAGGATATTCTTTCTTTTATGAATACGGCTCATTGTGTCTCCTTCAATATGTAAGGATGTCCTTGCTGTTGTATTGTTTTATATATTAGTTGTTCTTTTTTAAATCATGGTTTTTAGTGGATAGATAAATATGTTCCTTTATAATGTGTCCAAGAAAAATTAAATTGTTTAAATTTGAGATGTCATATAGCTTTTTAATATGGACGCCTCAGTTGTCATTATTTTTGTCTGTTCTGTGGTTTATATATTTGTGTATTTCTTGGTCAATCGTTTAAATGTAATTTTGTCGGTTCGTATATGATTTTGGATTTTATAAAAAAATGTGTTTTCTCACATTCTTCTAGCTCTGAGGAGGCGTCAAATAAACGGCGGAAGTATTATATGCTAAAAACTCAGAAGGAAAGTAAAAATCAAACACTGGGATAGGAACCTATTTCTTTTGTACAGATTAGAAAACTGAAAAGCCTTGGGCTCTTGCTAGGAAGACGGATATTGATTGTGGGAGACTTCAGTAGATAGTAGAGATAAAGTTAATCGATGTAAAATTTCCATTATCGTATTCAGCCGTCACAAAATATTGGAACGGTGATTTCGAACATAGTCACAACAAATTGCGAATAAATCGAATACGTTATTTTGAGCAGGCAAAGGGACATCTTGCGGGATCTGGTGAATTTCAGCAACACATCATCACCAGATTCATAATCAACGCACTTGATTTTACCAAAAAACACGTTTAAGCGTTTTTAATTGGAGTAGAGTCTGGTGCCGAAAAGGACGAGAGCAACATGCTCCTGCCTTTGAGTTGACAAACTGCATGGCATGCGTTGCGCTTTGTTGCTCTCTCCCTTTTCGGTACCCCAGTTCAGCATATCTGGAAATATTTTTCAAAACGGTTTTCTATGCAATATGGTTACTTTCGTCTCCTCTTTGGTATCCTGGGGATAATCTGGGATGCTAATTTTAAAATGGCCATCAAAACATACTAAAGTATAGTAAAGCCATCTTCGAGTAGGAAAATGGTACTTTTGGGCCGTCGCGTCGACCTCAGCAAGAAACTAATATTACACACCCGACTCTAACATTTTGGACATAAGGATGTATAATGGTGTTTGTTGTTCATGAGTTGTGAGCATCACTAATCGTCAACAGGTTTTTCTGTTATTGGAATTACGTCTGAAACCGTCAAAAAATCCCAGAAGGTTTGAGCAAATTGTTGGGTGCCCACGCGCGAACAATCTCATTCAATTCCGTTGACTTCTAGTTAAGCTCACTTTCAATTGCTGCACATGACATGTAACATCCGAAAACATAATAGGTATGTCCTTTTATAAATGTTACAGTACTTGCGCGCCAGTAGGCGTGGGAATTAAAAAGAATGAAATATACGCAAATACGCAACTATGCACTTTAATTTAGTAACTGATGTCAGGGATTAAAAATTGATACACAAAACTTTGAATAAGGAATACTTACGTCATCATACTTTCGTTGTTACCCTATGTGCATAGCTGCTCGTGACCTGGCTTGATGGGGGCTTCCAGAGGCCAAAAAATCAAATCAAAATCTGTACAAATTCCTGGATACACACGGACCTTGGTCTGCAATGAGGTCTCTCAGCTGTGGGCCCCGAACTACTGGGCTACGTGATTTATGATAGATGTAGGGCCGATTTCAGCAACATTAATGTTATGGACCCATGGGAAAATACCTTATCGAAATGCAATTTGACAGAAGCTGTCAAAGCTCTCTGAATAATAGTGATTTCCATTGACATATTGAACAAAATCGTGGAAATTCGACTGTATTATAAACAAGACCACTTTTGCATTCCAACATGATGCTTTTGTACAGAAAAAACAGGACAACTTTCATGTATTTTGATATATGTTATAGGTTTACATTTAACAATCCATTATCCCCCTCAGCGAATGGGAATGCGGCAGATAATAGTTCGATTTTCTAGCAGTTAAATTTAGCAGCAGATTTGGACGTTTGTTAATGCATGGCACCCTCGAATTTACCAACTTCAATATACTGAAAGTTATCATTACATACCTGTTGAATAGTGTGGATTTGTCTGTATCTTGCAAGAAAATAGAATATAAAATACATTCCATCCAATTCCTCATCTTCCTTTACGTCATAATAGTAATCATTTATTAATTTATGGGTTAATGAATTTCTTCAAAGCAATAAAAACATTATGTCCTCTCCATCCTAAAACACAGATAATATGTGTAAGACGTGTCAATCCCTACATCTCCCTGATGCATAATGCAATTACTATGGACGTAGACAAAAAATTATGAAAAATGTTTCACAGATAATGGCTTTCAAGTCCAAAAATCAAAAAAACTAGTTTGTTTGTTTATTTTTCTTTTTTGACTGGCGGGGATATCTATCTGTCACTCGCAGGGTTGCCAAATCTTATGACGATCACGTCCCGTGGTGGAGGGTGCGAAACGAATGTTTTACATTTGCTGGTTTTGAATTTTTTTCGTGAAAATTTTCTAGGTATCATGATTATAAGCATCTTTGGTAGATTGTTCGATCCGGAATTGGAAAGATCTCCTATTTATGAAAATTTATTTGGTATCATCTAACTGTTGCACAAACACTGTGACATATTTATGATTTATAGCATAACCTGCTGCCCTATCAATACAAATTTAACATACAGGTCGCCTAGCTGTGGCGATGCAGTGGTCGGGATGAATATCACGGCAGCAACTGATGATTTGGGCATGTTTGGTAACAACGTATGAAATGAAACTCAATAACTTCACAAATTTGAAGATTTTGTACAATTTCTTTGAAAATGATGAAAGATATGTCTGATTTGGCAGGGTAATGTCGCAGCCAAATGGCAGTCACTCTTTCTGACACAGTCCGGATAAAAAGATGACGATACTCGTGAAATGTATTGATACTTCTAAATATAGGATCGGATCGAACATCCCTACTGTCAAGATGTATAACCCGAAGTACCGACGGAGCTATATTGCGGCGTCATGGAAATAATTTTAAATTTTCATTTGCATTCTTTCAAGTGTTGTGCAATGATTTTGGGAAAAATGTCACGAATAGTCTTATAAAGCATAGTAGAGTATATTTCAACAGTTGGCGGAACTTACTCCACTGGGACCAGGAGGGTGAAGCGGGATATTAATGCACAATCTGGCAACCCTGTCGCACCCTCACAAAATGGCCGCTGATAACCACACAAGTCACCGTGTTGTCATTGAATAGCATGGAATTAAGCCTTCAGAGTATATGTTTTGTGACTGGTACCAAGAGTTGACAGATCCCACACATGTGTCACTCCTTGAAATGCAATAATCAGCTGTATTCAAATAATGTCTAACATAAATATAATAACCTAGAATGTGCACTCGTGGAAAAAGAAAAATATGGCAAATTTGTAGTTTTTTTTTGCAGATTTTATAGGTTTGCTGGTAGCTTTAACGCATATATTTGGGAATTTTTTAATGGCTGTGAATATAGTGTGGATGTTTGTTCAGTTCCTGAACAACGAAAGATATTCAACTTCATGGATGTATGGATATCAAAAAACCTTGAATGGTTTTCTGGGAATATCAATTTAAGGTGCCATAATGGTTCTGATGAACGGCAAGTAACTGAATGAATGTTTGGAAACGAGCAATATCTTTTTGTAGAGCCTGTCATCAAGTAGGTGCTTAATGGCTATCTGCAAGAGGTTTATAGGAAAAAACACCCAGTATCACATATCAATTGAAGAAAATAATATAAACATGAAAAAAAATCAACAATAGTAATTAAAACATGAACTTTATTCAAAAATCCAACATTTCTTTAAATTTTGACTTAATTATATGTAATTTCTTAATATTCAATAAACTGGTAATGTTTCAATGACAAGTTGTCATCTCATACTTTGACAGTATTTTGTTTTCAACATTTCATAGCTATTGGTTGCTAAAATTTGTTGATTGGTACTTGAAGCTCATTCGCTGTATCTGACGGTCTGTTACCCTATAGGTGGAGAATAACGGACTGTTGTTGGGGAAATTCGGCCTTAGTGATACAAACTTATGCCATTAATCAAAAATAGAACAGGTAGTAAGTGTCCAACCCATACATGTTTTGACCTTGAGGCTCTTTAGTACAACTTGACAGCCGATGAATATGAGCCGTTTAACGTGAGGCAGATCCATGCAAACCATTGACTAAACTTCTATCTAAAACAAAGATTTTCCCTTTTCTACGTTCCCCTTGACACACAAATTGTCTACCGAAAATATATGGCATTAGCCTCTTTCCGTTCAATTACGAAAATAGATTGTGACCTTCAAGATGCAGCAGTTCTCCGAAATCCTATCCTTTTAAAAGTTTAAATTACTAAATCAGTGTAATCTTTTAAAAGCTTCAGATAAACAGAAGACTTTGAACAGAGAACCCATGAATTTAAATCCAGAATAGCATAAACCTGAAGATTATCCTGAGTTAATTCAATCCTTTCGCCAAGTATGGCAACGAGATAAACATCGCGATGCAATATTTTATGCAACATAAATATTTAGGACGGAAGTAAGTGCTATTGAGAAGGATATACTGTATGTGGATAAAGATTGCACGTATAGACGAGGTTTGAATAAATTTATGATACCTCACAACAACTACAAAACTATACTAAACATACAGATTTTCATCCGACCAACCACATATGTCTAACCATGGATAGCTGTTTCGTGCTTTTTGGTACCTCAGCAGCGCTATCCAGACTCGATTTAATGAACAAGACATATTTATGAAATCCTTAGAAAGTCGTACATTAACATTATCAGAAAAAAACCTTACACAACGCTGTCATATTTATATCTTGCACAAGTTAGTCTGTTTTAGAAAAAAGTTAGCTTCTAACATGCATAGCAAAAGAATTAAATGGACCATGTCAGTCAAACAGACCTATTCAATTAGTTGATAGTTCCCACTGATTTGGTAACATTGCGATCTAGCCTATCGCCTTACCAACAGTACCGACCACACACAGATATGGAAATTCTGCTTGCCTCGGCACTCGCAAACCCAGAACGGCATTGCTTACACGAATACACGCATCATCGCTCAGTTATAGCTTAGCATTCGAAGCAGATAGACGTAAGCTCGATGAGTTTCCCTTCACGCGTGTCTCGAAAAGATATATTTATCATCTAAGTTTTAAGGGCAAATGTGCGGGAAAATCATTGGTGTATGAAATATGTCCAATAAGTGTGTATAAATAGAGATTGCTAGCACCAAAAAACTGAAAATTGAAACCCCAAGTGTTGAAACGTCTTCTTTATTGTGAACGTTTCGGTCACAACGGTGACCTTCTTCAGTGCAAAAGATAACATTTGCCCTTCCCCTCCCACTACAATTCCCAACATCCAATTTTTCACCCTGTAAACATTTTTCTAAAAATGATCCCGCACGGGTATCCTGTAAAAAACCTACAAAACGTCAAAAAACCTATAAGGTGTCATCTTGCAGACTAGGTAGCTTTGAGGGCGCAAACAGTCATTCCAGGTTTGCTCACTAGGATCGTTGAGAACGTCCATCTATGGAGGAATCACTCAACTATAACTACACGCATTATTGGTTGCATAGTTTTGTCATTTCTGAGTGATCCGGGTCTATAGTATTTATCTCTGAATAGAATTTTTTTTGAATAGCAAGATCGCATCTGGATGATTATGTGTATTGGTCTTCATGTGTATAAAATCAGTGATATTTGCTGTGTGAGAACATCATTACTGAATATGGTGAATATGACGGGTTATTTATATGTTGTGCTGTCTGATGAGAGGTTAGGTTCAAAGTTATAAATTACGAAAAACTGTGGAGAATTACGGGAAATCGTCACCGCGCCCGCGTTGTGTGTAATTACTGTTAGCATGTATCTTAAATCATTAGATTTAGAAATAACTTTTTTAAAAAATTTTATTTGAGGACTGAAGCTTCAGTCCATATAAAATACAAAGGTTTACAAATGTGACATTTACGGAGTCTAACCGGGTATTGAACATAAAGTTTACATAAGTGACTGTTACGGTGCCTAGCCGGGTAATGAACATAAAGTTTACATAAGTGACTGTTACGGTGCCTAGCCGGGTAATGAACGACATGAAATGGGCGCAAGGCCTATTTATACTATTGGTGTGCTTACAAAGCAGTTCTAGAAAATAAAGCGTAAACAACGTGTTAGCGAGAAGTCGTTATCTGTTGCTGAGCTAGCGTCTGGTACAACATTGTATGGAATAGTAAGTCCATTGTTTTGAGTGCATATAACAACTTCCCCCTATTACAAAAAGTTGTTGCCATGCGACAACTTTTGATAAAACTAGAAAAGTGTAAAAGATGTAAAAATTCAAAAATGTAAAAATGTAGAAATGTAAATTGTAAACATTGTAAAATATAAAAATATAAAAGTAGGAGTAATAAAATTGCAAAATAACATCAGAAAATATAGATTCTGAAAAATAAAATTGTTAGCATAAATGCGGTACATTGGCGATGCTAAATAACATCTAAAAGCAAAGCTGGAACAAACAAATAATAAGATACAATCGTACAGTCGTACGGGCAAAATTACATGGAAGATAACACGAAAATTGAAAATGTTTTTTTGTGAACAGTGAAAACACTTCACGGAACACTCACTGCAGTTCGATGTCTTCTTCATGTGGCTGGATGGTTGGTCTACGTCGAGGAAAAAGTCTGGGAATGTACCGGACTTTTGGTGCTCCTGGAGATGGACCATCGGCTGGATAATTTGATGCGCAGATGCTGAGTGGTCTACGTTTTCTGCACTTG